GCTCCGCGGGCCCACGGCTCCCCGCAGGCGCCCCCGCACCCAGACGTCCCCGACTGGGCAGCGCGCTCAAGGTCTTACCAGCTCCAAAAAGGCTTCTGCAGCTTTTTTGGGAGGTGGAGTGGGGTCAGGGACTCAGGAAATTAATCGCCACCCCAGAAAGCAGAGAGCGAAAGCCACACAGGAGCCTGAAGAGTGAAAACTACCAAGGACACGACAGGGAGCAGCAAGGATGGCTTTTCTAGAAGCTTACGTCAGCAATGAGACTGTCTCCCCCACCACAAAAAACCCCCCAAAACTCAAAAGACAATACAAACGAAATTGACTACTGGCCCACCCCTGGCAAACTCCAATCCCTACATGACCAGTGCGGTTAGCCTAACAAAAGTCTCTGGTGGGACAAACCCTACGCTCCCAACAACTGGGAGTCCCGATTTTTATTCTCTCAGTTCCCTTCCTCTGTAGAACACCTCTCCCCACTCCACTCCTCAGTGGCGGCTGGTTGCTGGGACCTGCCCTGGAGTCACAGGACTCAGGGCCACCCCATGCGTGACCGAACAGAACACTGCTGGGTCCTGGGCCATCGCCATGATCGGTTGCGAACTGGACTGTTGTGCGGTTTTCGTTGGCTGAGTTTCGGCAATAGATGGCCAGGCCTTTCTTCCTAGTCTTTGCGTGGAATCTCCACTGAAGCCTGTTCAGCATTACAGCCACACACAAGCCTCCACTGACAGATGTGGTGGCTGTGCATGAGGTGCACTGGCTGAGCATGGAACCCCAGTCTCCAGCATGGAAGGCGAGAATTCTATCACTGAATCACCACTGCCAGTTTAATCCCCTTCGAAAACTTAAAGCCACCACCTCTACATTCATACACGAGCGAATGTGTGCATCTACTGTGTGTCAGGCCCTGGGGACACCTGCGCGAGCCCCACAGAAGCCCTGGTTGTGGGGTTCACAGGAGTGGGCGTCACACTGCACCCACTGTGTAGTGAGTGATAAGTGCTGGAGGTCTGGAGAGACATCAGCCTGCACTCTGACAAGTGGCATGCCAGCGGAGGCCTGCATGTCCAGCCATCCCAGGCACAATGAGGGGCCCAGAGGGGCTGGAGTGCGGACGGGAAGTGGGGGCCAGGTCACCACAGCCTGCAGCCGTGAAATGGGTTGTGCTCAAGTGATGGGAAGCTGGTGGAGGGTCTCGAGCAGCAGAAGGCATAGCCAGATGTGTTTAGCAGAATGCTCTGGGTTCAACTTGGAAGGCAGCACCAAGAATTTCTGTATCATCTGGATGTGGGGGTGATAGAAAGAAGTCAAGAACATCACAGAGGTATCTGCCCATGGGATGGAAGAGCCTGTAGGGCTGAGAGAAGTCAAGAACGGCATGGAGGCATCCGCCCTCCCAGAGACCAGGAGCCTGGACCACCAGATGGGGAGAGGGATGAGCAAATTCAGGCGTTCAGACGTGGGCAGTGAGGTCTGGTATGGCCAAGCGGAGGTGTCAAGTCGGCAACTCTGTGTGCCGGCGTGGAGGTAGGAGAGGCCTGGGGCCAGCAGCACACAGCCACGGGGACACCAAAGCACTGCATGACATCGCCTGGGGAGAAGCCGAAGGCAGCGCAAGGAAGGGGTGAGGACAGTGATGTCACAGCTGTGCTGAACTACCAGCGTGGAGCCTGGGCAGAGTGGACCACCAAAGCCGACAGGAGCCTCTCTAGGCACCAAGGAGACATTCAGGCCCCTCTCTGTGTTATTACTGCAGTTTAGGTAACCTTCTTGGGATAACCAACTAGCAACTCAGACTATTATGATTTTTCTTTTCTTTTTTTTTTTGAGGGCTTGGCACTTGGCAGAGGGGGATGAGGCAGGAGGAAGAAGGAATAAGAAGTGTTCAGGAGCAGTCAACAGGTCCACTGCCAAGGAACTTTCAAATAAAGCTGAAAAGTCAACACAGGTAGGTGAGTGTAGTACCTTGAGAACAGACGCCTGAAAGAGTTGGTTAGATAACACAGTTACCAAAAGTACAAAATCAAATGTTACATTTGTGGTACAAACCATCCCTGCATACTTCTATGCTGATCCTTCTGACCAGCTTTTCTTCCCAGCAAGCCTTAATCCATCAAAAATAATGGTTTTGAAGATCAATTTCAGGACTTCCGTTGCAGCAATATTCAGACCAGATGTGTGAGAGCTGTGGCCGCCTGCAACGGTCACTATCAGCCTGTGATGTTTGGGTTTTCAGTTCTCAAGGGGAAGGGGAGAAACTCTGCGCCTACGCAAGGTGAGAGGTTAGAACAGAGATGTCCACTTACAGCCACGGTCCCCAAGGGCCTACCCCAGAAAGGCAGGTCCAAGGAAAAAAAGAAAAAAGTCCAGCAGCACAGGGAGATGGCCGGGTGCCTTCTGCCCGGCCTGTGCCAGAGAGGGGGCATCTGGAGAACCAGTGATGCCATTTGGGCTCAGGGAGCAAATTCTTAAAACCTACTGTGCACCGAAGAACCATAGCCCAAACCTAGAAATTAACAAAACAGAGAGCAATCCCACTCAGGAGGGAATACGTCTCCAGCCAGGCCAAACAGGATACGCACAGACCTACCCTCCCTGTAGAGAAGCTAAAAGTCCAAAATTCAAAGAGTAAGAAGACTGAAATAGAATTAGACTTAAGAACTTCAAATGACAGAACAATCAGAATGAAATGATAAAAAAAAAAAGTTTTAAATGATTAAAAATATAAGACATAAAGGTGAAACTAAAAAAAAAAAATCAAGAGATGGAACATATGAAAGAGATTAAGAACCATAGATAAGAGGATGAGAAAGTCCGACATATCTAACAGGAGTTCTAAAAGAAGAAAATAAAAAGATTGGAGAAGAAATAATAGCTTAGAAAATTCTAGAATGTAAAGATATAAAATCCTCCAATAAAATAAACAGCAGCAACAAAAAAAAAAGGTGGCTAGCAGTGTAATTTAACCCACAACAAA